CTGCTCCCGGCCCCGCTCCCGGGGAGGAAGGGGGGTGGATCTCGGGTTACTGGGGGTGCCGGTGCCGCCCTCCCCGCAGCCGGGGACCCGACGGCCTCCGGGGGCTCGGAGCGCTCGGGGGTTCGGAGCGCCGGGCGCTCGGCCCTGGTTTGTGGTTTTTGTTTTGTGTTTTTGTGCAAGAAAAGCGCTGAAAAGGCCGGCGGGGAGCGCGGGGGGAGAGTGCCCAGCTGGCATGGGGCGGGGAGAGCGAGCAGGGGCGTGTTTTGCTCGGGGTTGTGCTCCCAGGATCTTCTCCCTCTTCTTCTTATTTTATCTCTCTCTCTCTCTCCTTTTTTTTTTTTTTTTTTTTTTTTTTTATTTTATTTTTTTTTTTTTTTTTTTTAGGAAAGAGGAGCTGATGTGTTCCCTGTGAACCCAGGCCATGTTCTGAGCCTCGTCTCCAGGCCCCATCTGAGAACGGGGTGCCTCTGATCGCAGCTTTCCAGGAATTTGCCCTCCTCTCATCCCTGGTGAGGGGCTTGGTGAGTTTTCTGTGCGTTTTATTATGGGAAAGCACTCGGCTTTGAGCGTGGATTGAATGCAGCATGCTGTAAAAAATGGAATATATTTCCAAGGGAATCCTGCCTGTGCCCTGTTTTGTTCAAAACTCTTCTTCAAATAGTACGGCCTAACACTTTCCTTTTTATTATTGTATTTGGTGAGAGCCATAGGAATCCTGCACACATGTGCAGGAAATTGGGCAGATCGCTTTGCACAGCTGATCTTTGTATGTTGAAATACTCTTTACAGCTCCCTTGTATGAAGCAACTGCTACATCAGAGGATCAGAGGCCTTTTTACAGCTTGTTTAAGCTGAAAGTATTTAGTGCCACATCTGCATTATTTACTTGCTTTTAGCTAACTAAAGATTCCTAATGTAGAATTCGTATGGTGCATGTGAACTTGTTTCACTGTAAAAGCAGATTATTTGCCTGGGAGATGAAAGTTTGCAGGGCTGATCTGTCTGAACCTGCTTGGAGCCCTTATCCTGGAATGCTTATGCATTTTAAAGAAAATTTATTCCCAAACTATACATTCTCTTTACAGTTTATGCCCATTTACACTGGATCAAAACAGCAGCTACTTATTTAAGGTGTCCACATGCAATTATTTTCGGTCTTCACTACTTGTGATTTAAGATGCATCAAGGGTTATGTGCCCACTCAGTTACCGTGGCTTAGTTGAAGGATGGTAAAGTGCAATAATTAGCACATTTTTGTGGCTGAATGCAGTTGGAAATAAACTAAATACCTTGGCTTATGGCTAGACAGATCAGATCTGCTTATCTGCCCTTACAGTAGTATGTAGAGTTTGACCCCCGTGCTCCTTCATTTCCAAGTGATTTGCCACAGAGGTGGTGATGAAGAAGTGGAGAAAAATGGGGAAGTTGGGGCCTTGGTTTCCTGCTCCTTGGAAACCTTTCTGGCAAATGGAAAAATAAGGCTGTGGTAAGAATTTTCTTCCAGCAGTTAGCTGTGATTCAGTGTTCAAGATTGTAGGCGCATTTTTGTAGAGATCATCCCTATGTAGTACTGAGCATCTGTATCAAATCTTATAAAGTCATTCAGGTTTGTGTTTTCCTTTTTCTTCCCTTTGTAGAACCATGGCGAGTCCAAGGACAAGGAAAGTTCTTAAGGAAGTCAGAGCACAAGATGAGAACAATGTAAGAAATTTATGTATGATCTTGTTTAAATTAGTTTTGTAGCATTGAGTTTCCTTTTTGCCTACTCCAGGCATACATTATTATCTGCAAGACCTACTCTGTTTATAGCGCTGATGCGACTAACTACAGGTGGCACATAAATTTGGATATCTCCCACTTGTGTTAATTTTACTTTTGTTCATATTTGTTTTATAATGCACGGGTGTATATTTGTCACAGGTGTTCCAGAGATTCCAGTAATGCTGTAAACCCTAGCAGTCTGTCTTACAAGTGAGATCTTGGACATAGCTTAGTATAAAATAGTCTGTTTAAAAGTTTTATACTTCACCTTGAATGTGATAGCCCACAGACAAGTTCATTTTAATTTATATCAATGTGGGATTCCTCCCTCCTCCCCCTAATTATTATTTGCAACTCTATTTGAAATTACAACCTTTGGGTACAACTCACATAAAAACAGTGTTAAACCCCAAAGCATGATTCCAGTCGTAAGTATGCAAGATTTTGTGATGTATGAGCAGTAAAGATTTTTAAAGAAAAACTCCATTTCAATTTGCTATCATCTTTGCAATTTGTTGCCAGACTGTAGTATGACTGAATACGTGTTCCAAAATTAAATGTTGTGTCTTTATTTTGCAAAAGAAACTTAAGGAAGTCTGTTTGGTCTTCTTCAAAACAGTCTGAAAATGAAATAAAGATGCTTTCTTTGCTGATTAAGTTCAGTTTGTTTGATTGTATTTCCTCACTGTTTTTTAATGTGCCTGACTCACATTATAAAAATATTTTACTGAGCCAAGCAACAACGAATATTCCTTTTCATGAACTACAAAATAAGTACTTAAAGGAAGTTGGACTTTCGGGGAAGATGTTCTTCGAATGCTGAGATTTTCTAGCCTGAATTTATTTTCTGCATGTAACGTCTTGGTAATTCCATTTTTTGAGTTGTGCTTTGAAAGCTTCACACAGATGCTTCAGTGCTGGACGTGACTGTGTTTCTCTCGCAGGTCTGTTTTGAATGTGGTGCATTTAACCCCCAGTGGGTGAGTGTGACCTATGGAATTTGGATCTGTCTTGAATGCTCAGGAAAACATCGTGGCTTGGGAGTTCACCTCAGGTCAGCCGTTCAGACAGACACTGCACTGGGCTACCCTGGGATGTGTTGTGGCTGTCCTTATCAATTCAAACTGCTAGTATTAGAGCAATTTAAGATTTGAGCCAAAACAGTGATAGTATGATTAAAATATATCTCTAGTGTGTGCATATGTGTAAAACTGCTTTATTCATTTTTTTTTTCCCTCCTCTTTTTGGTAATATAAATGATAGCTCTTATTTCTTTTTCAAGAAACATACTCAGCTGAGCCAGGAAATTATGGAATAAGAACTATTATGTGTTCCAGAGACTCCATGGTCTATAATAGGGGCAGAACATGGGACAGTTACTCAAATGAGAAAGGGAAAGAAAGTCCAGGAGGGAGATCACCAAAGCAAGGAGGCCATTCAGAAGTATGTGCTTTGCTTATTAAGGGGTGATTTCAAGTTCCTTAGTGAGTTGAAATTGCATAGGAAATGAGTTTGGAACTATTCCATGAGTTACGTGAAAGCAAATACCAAGTATTGAGACAAAGGAAAATCTAATGAAGGGTAGTGATTTAGGGACAAAAAGACAGAAATAAATCAAGATACAAGTTCTATAAAGCTTTGCTGAGGGTAATGTCTCATTTTTTTTCTGTGATCTTGTACTGAAACACTAACAATAGAGCACTCCTTTTTTAATGTAGTTTAATGAGCAGTAGCAATAATTCATAGCCCAAAACAGAGGCGAGATGTTAACTGTGGCCATAAACACCCTGGGATGAGGTCATGGTAGGGGGTTCAGTGCAGCTACTTCAGACAGCTGAGCTGTCGGGTGTCTGATGGGCTTTCTGAGGAGAAGCTTGGAGTGATGGAAAGGAAGGGACACAAGGTATCCTTGCTGATCCCTTAGCTGTAATCATGCAAAAAAAAAAAAAAATCCTGAATAAAAAGGTCAAGAAAGTTGGGTTAGGTCAGTTTCCAAAATTTCCAAGCTTGTAGAAGAAAGCTGCTTTTTTTCTGCCAGTTGTCTTCCGTTGGCCATCTGCTTTAATTGCCTCTATAGGCATGTTTTTAGGTTATTTTAGTGAGAATTTGACCTTTTTATAAGGCTCTTTCTTCCTATACTTTCAGAGCGATTCTCACCTTTCCATACCCTCTGTCTTGGAGATGAGTTGCAGTAATATCAGCTTCTGCTCCTATAGCAGGATATGGCATAACACATTGATTTTTTTTTAACTAATTTTCAGTTTTGTACGCTCTGTAACTATGGACAAATGGAAGGATATTGAGCTGGAGAAAATGAAGGCTGGAGGTAACAGCAAATTTCGAGAGTTCTTAGAGTCTCAAGATGACTACGATCCTTGCTGGTCATTGCAAGAGAAATACAACAGCAAAGCTGCAGCTCTTTTTAGAGATCAGGTAAATGTAGTTGTAGAGCAGTGTTTGTTTTCATCTCCTACTTGAAAATCTCTAAGTACTTCATAAGCACTTAAAAAAAAAACAAACAAAAAAACAGTAACTGTTTGAAGCTCTACAGTGAATCTCAGAAAGGGTGAGACTCAGAGATACTCTTTTCAAATCTTAAGCAGCATGAAAAAATACTACTCTTTTGTTTCTTTTCTTTAGAAACTTTCTTTTGGCCTTTGGGCTAGTTTCTCATGATGTAGCTTGCTGTGACTAGGTAGACAGGGGAGCTAACTTAATTTTTCAGTAAATAAATTGCTATTTCAGCTGTACTATTTAATGCGAAAGCTTGCTGATTAAATCTTATTTGCTTATGGTAGCAAAGTGGCAAATTAATTGTTTCAATACACACAGCATAGGCAGAGCAAATAATTAATGTAATCATTTCAAGGAGTCTGGAAGTTTCAAAAAATGAAATGTCAAAATATTTGGAATTAGATGGTGGGAGACTGTACAGAAATACTGATTTTTCATGCTGACCCTACTGTTGCAGCATTAAGATGTTACATTCTGTGCTTACTGGAGTACTCCTACAGCTTTGAAGTTTGTCATCTGTGGTGTCTCTCTGCTTCTTTAGAATTTGCTTGGTATCAGAGACTGCTTGTTGAAAGCAGAATATCTTAATGAAGGCACAAAATTCTTAAGTTCTGTACTGCATAGGTCTTTTTTGTACTCATTTGCATGAAAACTTAGACCCTGACATTCTGATCTTTCCTACCACTTTTAGGTAGCTACTGTAGCTGAAGGCAAGGAGTGGTCCCTTGAAACATCTCCTGCAAAGAACTGGACACCACCACAGCCCAAAATGTCCCTCTCCTCAGCTCATCGGTATGTATTCTTTCTATCTGAATTGTCATGCTACAGGAGCAGGATCAAACCCTCATGTTGGAATTTGTTTTATCAAGCATTTTGCTTACGTAAGTTAAGGAATCTGATGTAGCAGAGCTTTTATTTCTGTAATCAATCCCCCTTTCCTCAGGCTTTCCTGAATCTTAAAAACTGTGGCAGAGACAGAAAAGTGAGAAAGAACAGAAAATGAGCCCGAGCTGCTTCTGGCTTTGTGCCTTGCAGCGCACCTGACATCAGTGTGTGTCAGTCAGACTCTGTGTGCCACAGACTCAACTGCGTTGCTTTTCTATGGTAGTCAATCATGAAACTGGATGTGACCATCTTTTCTGTATGAATTTAATTGCTGTTAGGGCATCAAAGTTAAAATGCAGCAGCCCTGTTTTTCTGCTTTTTGCATGCCTGATGTTGTTCTTTGCGTTTAAGAATCAATCTAACTGAAAAAGCAATCATAAATCAGAAAAACACGTGCTTTGTCCTTGGCCATCATCCAGCAAGTTCAGTGGGCTAAATAGTCTGAGTAACACTGTTTGGATCTGCTCTTGCTTTATTCATTCAGTACTCTAGTGGCTTTTAATGGTTACATTAGAGTTCCCTACTTGATAGACCAAAGAAATAATCACTTGTGCACTTGTTTTATGATGATATATGACAAGCTGCAGTGCTCACCTGGTGGTTTAATTAGTTCAATTTCTTTCTTGCAGTACTTCTGCTGGACAATCTCAGAATGCAACTGCCTCGTCCGACAAAGCGTTTGAAGACTGGCTAAATGATGATGTCAACTCCTATCAAGGGTAATGTAATATTTACAGAGCTGATGTTTTGTCTGCCTGGTCCTCCAGCATAGCACAGACCAGGATGTTATGCTACAGCTGCATAGCTGTGATTCTGATTCATCTGGCCTAGGTAAACAGTTATATCTTGTTTACTGTTTTTTAAAAAAGATAATATATGATCAGGGAGATGCCCTTTAATGCATTTGTTTAAAAGCAAAATGTTTCAGTAGTGTTTTAAAAATGTACTTGTAAATCAAAATGTTGCTGTAGTGAGCTTCCAACCAGGAAGGCTTTAGTGTATTTAGAGTATTGGGTAAAACTGGGGCATTTACAACGTTGTTTTTTTGTTTGTTTGATTGATTGTTTCCTCTTCTATCCCTCTCTATTCATATTTTCAAATATCACTTCATTTTCTTATGGTAGTGGCCAAGAGAATCGTTACGTGGGATTTGGGAACACAGTAACACCTCCAAAAAAGGAAGATGACTTCCTGAATAATGCCATGTCGTCACTGTACTCGGTAAGGAAATGCTCAAAGGTTTCTGTGACCTGAGGTACCTTTTTATTTTGTGTCATCTTAGGGGAATGTAACTTGAGAATTGGGGAATTAGGGAAATATAACTTGGGAATTATTCTTGAAAATATAACTTGATTCTTGAGTAAAAAAATCTTGAGAATATAACTTGAGAATAATAAAAAATTCAGTACCCTATATTATTGAAAAAGATCTTGAGAATATAACTTGAGAATTAGGGGAATATAACTTGAGAATAAAAATTGTAAATAATATAGGGTACTGAATTTTTTATTTCTTTTACAGGGATGGAGCAGTTTTACAACTGGTGCTAGCAAGATTGCCTCAGCTGCTAAAGAGGGTGTAAGTAAATGCAATGTATTTTAGTGTAATTCTTGCAAGGTCAAGAAGACTAAGCAAACTTTGAGTGCTTTGAAATCTAAGAAAAGGATATCTTTAACAGTATCACCAAAGAAATCTAAACTTTTTGTGTGTGTGTCCTGGCCTATGGCCTGTAAAACAGAGACACAGGGAGTGCACATTTCTGCCTTATCTTATTGTTCTGGATGGACATTTCTGTAAATTTATCTGCTGGATGCAGGTATTTTTGCTTCAGAAATATGTTTGTGCCAAGTAAAGACAAACTGCTTTTCTTTTCAGCAGTAGTTATTTCTGCTTCAGAAATATGTCTGTGCCAAGTAAAGATAAACTGCATTTCTTTTCAGGAGAAATTTAATATTGGTTGACAAATTGTTGATGGGTTTTTGTTCTTTTCTCACTTGAACTGTGACTCTTTTTTGGTTTATTAGAAACTAGAGAAAGTAAAAATTCTTCATATTTTAAGGTGATGGTAGAAAGACCTGAAATATGCTATTGTGATTTTCACAAAAACTAAATTATCTCTTGAGAAAAAGACTTAAGTGTACGTTATGAGATGCAAATTTTGATACCCGTCTGTGTAGGCTCACCTAGGGCTGGTCTGAATTGAGGAGCCTTTCTTGTGCTGAGTTGAGAATGATGCTTCCTATATGATCTGGGATACCAAAGGGATTAATGTGGATTTTGCCTGTTCAAAGTGAAATTCTAGCAAAGATTCATTCATTTTGGAGAGGACCATGCAGCATTTCTGAGTGTGTCTTTACTAGGAGTAAAGCCCTTGGTTATATTAAAATTTAAATTAACCAAAGCAAATATATTAAAATTTAAATTATTTGCTTTCCACAGGCTACCAGATTTGGATCTCAAGCAAGTCAAAAGGTGATTGATTATAGATTTTAGCTGTGCTTTATTCATAGAAATTGGCTTTAAATGTCATGCATTTGCCTGCACTGGTTGATTTAGATTTGATCATCAAGAGACCAGTGTGATTATCCCTGGGATAATTCCATGGAGATTACAATCAGCTGACATGGGCATGTTAAGCATAAAACAAATAGTGGTAGTTCTTCTTTTACATCATTGAAGGGAGTATTTGATAGGCAGTGGAATTAAATGCTTTAATTCATGTTTTCTGTCATAAAGTATGCTAGTGATTTTATTTTTGTGAAGCATAAATGTGGTGTGTCTGAAGTAGCTGTCTTCTCGAGGCTATCTAGTGGAATACAAGCCCTCATTCCACTGCTAAATCCTAACAGTCCCTTATGAATGTAGTCTGCTTAATATTCTCAAGTTAACTGGCCTCCGTGTATTAAAAAAGTGACAATTCTAAAAATGTTCTCTTTCAAAATAAGATTAAGAGACAGTCAGACCTGAATTATACAGAGCTCTGGCAGTAGCAAGATCTGTGAGCATTGAGAAGTTTTAGATTAACATGTGGAAATCTATAAAATGGGATTCGTCACATGCCAGCGTTGAGAGAGGGCTTACATATACTGACATATGCTGTAGGGAATTTTACTTTTGCCCTGGGGCTCATGCACAGCATTAGCCTGGCGTGCCTCCTCGTGTGCATAGGATGCTGTAGTTCCCCAAAAAA